AGGAGTGGAATGCGGGGCGTGGAGAGAGAGAGACTGTTCCAGCCTGTTCCAGGCACCAGCAGGTATCTCTCCCATTATCTCTTTAAAATCTGTGATATTATGAACAGATGAAAATTCTGTGGACAGAAAGAAGAATTTCAGACTTTAAAGGAGTGCAATGGGATCGGATTCCACTAACAGGGAGCAATGGGTCCAACCCCTCTGACCCGCCCAACCTTGCCCTAGGCTCCAGTAGACATCCTACATAAGGCTTCCAACCTTATATATATATATATATATATATATATATATATATATATATATATATATATATATATATATATATATATATATATATATATATATATATATATCGTACCTAGTAGCCAGAACGCACTTCTCAGCCTACTATGCAAGGCCTGATTTGCCTAATAAGCCAAGTTTTCCTGAATTAATATATTTTCTCAATTTTTTTCTTATGAAATGATAAAGCTACCCATTTCATTATGTATGAGGTCAATTTTTTTTTATTTTAGTTAAAATTAACGTAGATATATGACCGAACCTAACCAACCCTACCTAACCTAACCTAACCTATCTTTATAGGTTAGGTTAGGTTAGGTTAGGTAGCCGAAAAAGTTAGGTTAGGTTAGGTTAGGTAGGTTAGGTAGTCGAAAAATAAATAATTCATGAAAACTTGGCAAATTTTTTCATGAAAAAATTCATGAAAAAATGAATTAATTGTTTTTCGACTACCTAACCTACCTAACCTAACCTAACCTAACTTTTTCGGCTACCTAACTTAACCTAACCTATAAAGATAGGTTAGGTTAGGTTAGGTAGGGTTGGTTAGGTTCGGTCATATATCTACGTTAATTTTAACTCCAATAAAAAAAAATTTACCTCATACATAATGAAATGGGTAGCTTTATCATTTCATAAGAATAAAAATAGAGAAAATATATTCAGGAAAACTTGGCTTATTAGGCAAATCGGGCCTTGCATAGTAGGCTGAGAAGTGCGTTCTGGCTAATAGGTACGACATATATATATATATATATATATATATATATATATATATATATATATATATATATATATATATATATATATATATATATATATATATACATAAAATATAAACTTCTGAAATGTATTTGAATCCTTAGAAAATATAAACATAGTTTAATCTTAAATTTATAAGCAATTCAAACAATTCCAAATATAGTTATCATTGAAAATTATAAAGACAATAACAATAATAACTCTAGCTTCTGGCAACACCCTTGAGCGAACCATTTGGTCAGGTGTTTATGGTCATTCTGGAAACAATTAACTGTCTACATTTTAATTCTTAGAGTAGTGTAGCTTAAGGTTCAGAATGGCTTACTTACACTGTGTGCGTTGCGTCTCCTAAGTAATGTGTTTGATCAGAGGGGTCTGGGAACAGTTACCAGTTACCTTAATGGTGGATTATATGAACCAGAGACTGTTCCCAGCGCTGCCTCCTGACTGGTCCACTGCTGCTCCATGCCTGGTCCACTGCTGCTCCATGACTGGTCCATTTTTGCCTTCTGACTGGTCCACTGCTGCCCCATGACTGGTCTATTGTTGCCTCCTGACTGATCCACTGCTGCTCCATGACTGGTCCATTGTTGCCTCCTGACTGGTCTTTTGTTACCTCCTGACTGGGCCACTGCTGCTCCATGACTGATCTATTGTTGCTTCCTGACTGGTCCACTGCTGCTCCATGACTGGTCCACTGTTGCCTCCTGACTGGCCCACTGTTGCCTCCTTACTGGTCCACTGTTGCCTCCTGACTGGTCCACTGTTGCCTCCTGACTGGTCCATTGTTGCCTCCTGACTGGTCCACTGACTGGTCCACTGTTGCCTCCTGACTGGTCCACTGCTGCTCCATGACTGGTCCACTGCTGCTCCATGACTGGTCCACTGCTGCTCCATGACTGGTCCACTGTTGCCTCCTGACTGGTCCACTGCTGCTCCATGACTGGTCCACTGCTGCCTCCTGACTGGTCCACTGTTGCCTCCTGACTGGTCCACTGTTGCCTCCTGACTGGTCCACTGTTGCCTCCAGACTGGTCCACTGTTGCCTCCTGACTGGTCCATTGTTGCCTCCTGACTGGTCCACTGACTGGTCCACTGTTGCCTCCTGACTGGTCCACTGCTGCTCCATGACTGGTCCACTGCTGCTCCATGACTGGTCCACTGCTGCTCCATGACTGGTCCACTGTTGCCTCCTGACTGGTCCACTGCTGCTCCATGACTGGTCCACTGCTGCTCCATGACTGGTCCACTGTTGCCTCCTGACTGGTCCACTGCTGCTCCATGACTGGTCCACTGTTGCCTCCTGACTGGTCCACTGCTGCTCCATGACTGGTCCACTGTTGCCTCCTGACTGGTCCATTGTTGCCTCCTGACTGGTCCACTGCTGCTCCATGACTGGTCTATTGTTGCCTCCTGACTGGTCCACTGTTGCCTCCTGACTGGTCCACTGCTGCTCCATGACTGGTCCACTGCTGCTCCATGACTGGTCTATTGTTGCCTCCTGACTGGTCCACTGCTGCTCCATGACTGGTCAACTGTTGCCTCCTGACTGGTCCACTGCTGCTCCATGACTGTTTAAGATGATTCAGCGTTTCATCTCTGGCTTGTGTTCCCTCGTCAATGTATGCTTCTGGAGCGCGTAAATGTTCTAATACTTAAAGAATAGAATTCAAATCACATAAAATTACTCCTGTGTTTTTAGCTTACTAGCAGCTAGTTATAATACAGTTAGTTCTGTTAGGGTAGAGTTGAGCCATTTGTTTAACCTGACGCTGATAGCCTGTGTTCAAGTGTTATTTCTAAAACCTTTTTCTTGAAACCTATTTCTATTTTTTCTAAAACCTATTTCTTGAGACCTTATGAAGCAATTGTTACAACTGAGATTGCTTTAAGGGCAAAATTCGCTTTACCTTTCTTGGCGATGAGTAGATTTCTTGCAGTTCTTGGCTGATGGGGTGTAGATGAGCTGGTAAGTCAATGGCAGATAGACTGCATTTAAAAGATGTGTTTAAATTGACAAGGACTGATACATTCTTTCCTCTGCCTTTATCGTGGAGTGAGAGGGTTGGGGGGGTGGGGGTGTTCGTATCAATCACTGCTGTCGTGAAGGAACAAAACCAATTCGTCTCAGAGTCCGGGTTAGGAAGGTTGGGTCGCTCATGACTTTATTGCATAAAATAATATCTGAATAATATTATTCTGGATTCTTAAGAGTCTAAAATAATGTGAAGCTTCAGTTCTGGCTTCGTATTAATGATTCTAGTGCATCTTGAGTTTAAGTTAGTTTTAATTAGATTAATTAGTTAATTAGGCTAGATATTACTGGCTTCAGTTAGGTTACTTCAGGATAGGCTAGGTATCGTTAACTTATGGTAGTTTAGGATAAGGTAGGTTTCTTTAGAGTAAGTTAGGTTAAGTTTGATTAGGTTAGGTGTTGTTAAATTAGATTTCGTTAGGTTAAGTCTTAAGATAGGTTAGGTACCGTGAGGTCAGGTTAGGTTTGGTTGCGTTACAATTACCTAGATTATTTCATTCAACTGGGCACTAGGAGACTCGAAGCACGGACCCCCACCCGTGTGAGGCAGAGGCTCTATCCACTCAGCCATGAGTAGTCTTATTTTGATTCTTATTCGTGTAAGTCTTTTTCTTATAAGACTACTCACAGCTGAGAGTCTGAAAATAGAGGTCGACGGTTCGAGTCTCTAAGAGCCCCCAGGTGAATGAAATGTTTATTACCACGCAAGTGTGGATGACAATTAACACAAGAATATGTTAAATAAAACTATTTTAGAATAGGTTAGATTTCCTTAGATTAAGTTGGGGTTTGGTTACTGAGATAAAACTACATTATTTTCAGCAGTATGCAGAACACTGTTGTTAAGGGTCTCCGTGGTGTAGTGGTAAGACACTCGCCTGGCGTTCCGCGAGCGCTTTGTCATGGGTTCATATCCTGGCCGGGGAGGATTTACTGGGCGCAAATCCTTAACTGTGGCCTCTGTTTAACTCAACAGTAAAATGGGTACTTTGTTGTAACGACGATTCTTCGCGGCAGGGGATCGTATTCCAGGGACCTGCCCGGAACGCTACGCGTACTAGTGGTTGAACAAGAATATAACAACTCTTGTATATATCTCAAAAAAAAGGGCAGCTAGTGACGTCACGCACTAATCCAAGATGGCGGCTACGGTCGCGTCTCATATCTTAGTGGTCTGCACTTTCTTAAGACTAGATGCGCAATAAAAGATCAAGGAAGGTTGCTTAATCTTGTATCCAAAAGGTAGCTCACGATGCCCTTGTCTCAATCCTGTAAAAGAAAAAACGGTGTCTTATGAACTAGCGGCATTGTTAAAACAACCGGTAGGTTTATTTATCACCAACCACAACAGTTCGCTATATCTAAACAGATGTATTTTACAAGTCTATGCCAGCGGTGACGTCATGGGTACATGACTATGCCAGCGGTGACGTCATGGGTACATGACTATGGCAGCGGTGACGTCATGGGTACATGACTATGCCAGCGGTGACGTCATGGGTACATGACTATGGCAGCGGTGACGTCATGGGTACAGGACTATGCCAACGGTGACGTCATGGGTACATGACTATGCCAGCGGTGACGTCATGGGTACAGGACTATGCCAGCGGTGACGTCATGGGTACAGGACTATGCCAGCGGTGACGTCATGGGTACAGGACTATGTCAGCGGTGACGTCATGGGTACAGGACTATGCCAGCGGTGACGTCATGGGTACAGGACTATGCCAGCGGTGACGTCATGGGTACAGGACTATGCCAGCGGTGACGTCATGGGTACAGGACTATGCCAGCGGTGACGTCATGGGTACAGGACTATGCCAGCGGTGACGTCATGGGTACAGGACTATGCCAGCGGTGACGTCATGGGTACAGGACTATGCCAGCTGGCCAGTGTCTGCCAGCCGCGCCGTGACTCATGGCACAGCAGCTGTGTAGGTGCCTGCCATCCTTGCCACCATCTGAACAGTTTGGCAACAAAATAATTAAGCTAGTAACGTCCACAGCTTTATGGGGTAAACTGTTAACTGGCGGAGGACTGCGTATGATTCATTCTCTGGGACGTTCGCTTGATTTACCACTCCTTAAGAAATCCAACCTTTTAGCCTCATCAGAATTGAAGGAACCCCAGAATTCCACCGGTCGAATCCGGTCCATAGAAAACGTGAATGTGAGCCGTTAGTTTTCTTAATAAGATGCATTTTTGTAAACGTTAGTTCCGATAACGCCAGCTAGCAACGGGATGTATGAGTTGAGAGGGAGGGTATCATTCTCGCAGGGTCCAGTGACGCATGTGTGGGCGACTGCCAGCGACCGCACGTTTATTCCTGCGCGCGCGACCCCAAACAAGTGCGTTCAGTCCTCCAGACAACCTTGTCTTGTGCTGCTATCAACCCGTCTTAAGAATAACGTCGCTTTTCGCTCGTATGCGCTCTATGGCCAAAATTGGACGTAATTTGAAATGAAATCGGCTCGCGAAAGTGATGTACTCTCCCGTTTTCTGTTTGAGTCCTCCAGAATAAACGTACAAATTATATGTAACTAAAGAACTCAACCTCGTGAAGGATTTGAACCTTAGATAGCATGGTGCTCCAAACACCAGCGTATCCAGCACATTACCAACTTGATCATTGCAGACTTTACAAAAGTCGTTGATAGCCGAGGCTATTTGAACCAACGATCCATACGAGGTATTTGATGTGTTTCATGAGATATGGGCACCATTCAACTGCTGTATGTTCCAACTTTGGTCCCACAAAGGTCGTGAACAACTTCTTTAATATTTCGCCATCCATGTATGTAAAAGCGATCCTGGAGTTGGAAAGCTTAGCATAGTTCCTCGCACAATATTCACTTTATATGGTCCTTAGGTGACAGCTTTCTACCCACAACCACCTTTAGATCTCTTTCTTTATTAGAATTCTTTAAAACTTTTTCACATAATGTGTAAATAGTGCAAATCTTTGGTATATTTTCTACATTCTCTCTTCTCTCCTTTTCCACATTCCATAACATGGCATTTATTCACATTAAATTCCATATGCCAGGTGGTGCCTGACACCTATTTTGTCCAGGTCTTCCCCAGTAGCTTCGCATCATCAGCAAACATGTTCATATAATTTTGGCTTCTGATGGCTCGTGTGTAAGACTATAGGCCTTGTAATTGTAATTTCATATTTAAAATATATACATGAGTGATTGCATGATCATTAATATATAATTTTTGAACTGACTTTTTTATTATTTACAGTTAATACAATGTTATGTGGAAGTTTGGTATACTATCTGATAATATTCTCCGTAAACCCCATATGATGTATCATAGTTTTCCTTTCAAAACTATATTGTTGCTTCAATTGAATATTCCTCTCCTTCCTATTCATTTGTATATTCAAATGATGAAGTCAGTAACAAACATAACTATTTAATTCTTTATATTCCTTCATTTCGCTTCAATGTTGGCCGTTATAAACCATGACATTTTCGTCTGCCTTTACCATATACACTGTGAAATACTTTGTCAGATTTATAAAACAATTAATCCGGATAAAGCTCGAGGTCAAATATACCTTATAGTTCTTGATCAGTTTTATAATCCACTTTTTATTTTTACAGTAATATAAATATACACACAGAAATCACAATAGCGTGATGCATCAAATGAACAAATCCACAAGGGCCGTGACGAGGGTTCGAACCTACGTCCGAGAGGATCCCAGACGCTGCATTAATCGACTGAGCTACGATTAGCTCTACAACCTGTCGTAGCTCAGTCGATTAAGGCAGCGTCTGGGATCCTCTTGGACGTAGGTTCGAACCCTCGTCACGGCCCTTGTGGATTTGTTCGTTTAATATAAATATATGTCTTAGTGTTCTCTGTTCAGATAGAAATAGCTTCCCTTTCGCGATAAATATCACAATGCGAAATGTTTTAAAAATAACGCATAGATCTCGGTGAAGACTCTTCGCTAATATTGGACATCGCTGAAGAGAAGCGTATGAGATACATGTGAGGTAACTCAAGAACCATGTGTGAGGACGCTAGTGTTTCGTCTTCTCACGCACAATACACGAACAGTGATTCGGGTCTATTGTTCTTAGAGTGTGGCAGAAGATAATTACGTAACTGGCGTGCCAGAGGTTCCAGCTGGATTTTTCGCAATCTCATGGGAATCAATAGAACTGAGTATCATTATTATCCTCATCGAACAAGGATAATATGCAAACTTCAGTAACGTGAGTTAAAATTAAGATGAGTTAAAATTAAAAAATTTACTCTGATATATCCAACACAAATCTTACCGTTTCCGTTTGTTGGTAACCTAGGCTATTATGTCTAGAGTAATATGATCTTTATATTGTATATTATTCAATAGAAAAGTATGTCTAGTGTAAAAATCAGCCACAGTAACAGTTGCAGTAGTAGTACCTGGAGCTGAGCAGTTACATTATCCATTGGCGTGTTTTTGAGGATATGCTCATGATGCATAGTTTGCCAGTGTAGGCTTTGGCTCCCATGCCTCTGTATGACTAACCATCCTGAGAGATGGGGGATTTTAGTATCAAACTCTGTAATCCTTCATATAGTCTAGACCTCTAGGGGGTAGCTGCAAAATTGCGGATATATCTATATTACAACCCATCCTCCTGTTTAGATAGTAATTTTTGCAACTATGTGCACCATAGAACAAATATTGACGTACTAAGCAATTATATAGTAGAATTTTGTACTATTCACTTCATCGAGTCCGAAAAATGAAGCTAAATAACAAATATGCCTAGGCCTATTATAGCACACATGTTTTATATTAGGCCTCAGATAGCGTGTATTAGGACAAGGAAGGTTAGGTTAGGTTAGTTTAAGTATAAAAAGCTATGTTTTGTTCAGATCTGAAACCAATATCTATGGGCAGCACAAAACGTGGACCAGTATATATATATATATATATATATATATATATATATATATATATATATATATATATATATATATATATATATATATATATATATATGTCGTACCTAGTAGCCAGAATGCACTTTTCAGCCTACTATGCAAGGCCTGATTTGCCTAATAAGCCAAGTTTTCTTGAATTAATATATTTTCTCTAATTTTTTTCTTATGAAATGATAAAGCTACCCATTTCATTATGTATGAGGTCAATTTTTTTTATTGGAGTTAAAATTAACGTAGATATATGACCAAACCTAACCAACCCTACCTAACCTAACCTAACCTATCTTTATAGGTTAGGTTCGGTTAGGTAGCAGAAAAAGTTAGGTTAGGTTAGGTTAGGTAGGTTAGGTAGTCGAAAAAACATTAATTCATGAAAACTTGGCTTATTAGGCAAATCAGGCCATGCATAGTAGGCTGAGAAGTGCGTTCTGGCTACTAGGTACGACATATATATATATATATATATATATATATATATATATATATATATATATATATATATATATATATATATATATATGACAATGTCAGACCACGGAGGAAAAATGAAACAGGAATTTCCTTAAGTACTTTCGTATATTAAATACATCTTCAGAAGGTCCTTCTGAAGATGTATTAATATACGAAAGTACTTAAGGAAATTCCTGTTTCATTTTTCCTCCGTGGTCTGACATTGTCACATTCTTAATCACGTGTTTATTTTCGTGATATACACACATAATGAGAACCACGCGCTCTTTTGCTTTGCTGTTCCCTCAGACTGCTTCCTTCGTGACCACCTTCGCTTCTCTACTAGTGAAAGCGCACTGTTCCCGCATCCGCCTCAAATTCCTGAAACAATGTCTTGGTGAGCAAGTTGTACCCAAGTCTCTGCTACCTGCCCGTCTGCTCAAATTAGGTGATGAACCGTTTAGTGATTTCTGTGCTACCATTTTGAAAAAACACATTTGGACCTTCTGAAGATGTATTTAATATACGAAAGTACTTAAGGAAATTTCCTGTTTCATTTTTCCTTCGTGGTCTGACATTGTCACATTCTTAATCACGTGTTTATTTTCGTGATATACACACATATATATATATATATATATATATATATATATATATATATATATATATATATATATATATATATATATATATATATATATATATATATATATAGGTCTTCATCGTTACTATAAGTACTACCAAACCAGGAGGATGGGCTGCTATATTAATAGGATAACAGCAAATTGATAAGCAGGCCAATATAGAGGCAGGCAGTTTGCAAGACAGGCAGGTAAATTGATAGGTAAGAATGCCGGAAGCTAGAGAGAGGCAAGGAGGAAAGTACACAGGCACGAGTGGACAAGATGTTAGGCTTTTCTGTTTCTTTGCATTTTCTTTTGTTTTCCATTTTTCTGTGTATTATATGTTTCCATTCTCTCTCTCTCTCATATTCTGTCATATTTCATGTCATATTTTCATATTCTACATATTTTTCATGTTCTGTGTTTTGTATATTTTTATGTTTTCTAGCGTGTTTTCAATATTTCTGTGTTTTTCAATGTGATGTTTGTATTTGCATAGAGCACGGAGAGGCTGGTGACGTCTGCCTACATGTCGGTGGGAGCGCTGAAATAGACCTTGGTAAGTGCTTGAAGCCATATGTTACCTCAGGTTGTTGTTGTAGATTCAGCTACTGGGAAACACAACATTCCAAGTAGCACGGGCTATGGTGAGCCCGTAGTGAGCCCGTAGTGGACTTACCTGGCACAGGAGCGGGGCTGTCTAGCTCAGGTGTTATTAGTTCTATTTGTTTTCGTCACTGTCCCCCTCATTTCTTAACCCCCCATTCCAAGCCAACCCCCTCCCCCCTCTTTTTCCCTACACGCCCATTTCGTAAAACCCTTCTACTCACCCTCCTTGTGTGTATATGTATGTATTAACACGAAGTACTGAACGGGGTGAGAATAGCTTGAGCTACCTCATCCCTTTGTGTGTATTTTACCTCAATAAACTTATTTCAATTTCAATTTCAACTCACCCTCCTCCCCATCAATATAACCCCCCATCTCATCACCCAATTTTCTGTGCCCAGCCTCTTTAGAGAGATTGATTGATGAAGATTAAGCCACCCAAGAGGTGGCACGGGCATGAATGCTACCACAATAAGTGGTAGATTTTTGGAGTGAATGTGATTTTGGGTCGTGTCTTTAAATAAAAAAAAATGCGAACTTAAGGCCAATGCGAGGCATTCCTACGGAGGAAACCACTATCATTCATATACGTATCCAATCACTACCACTTGTGTACTTTATCCAATCTCTACCACTCGTGTACTTTATCCAATCACTACCACTCGTGTACTTTATCCAATCTCTACCACACGTGTACTTAAACACTCCCACTCGTGTACTTATCCAACCTATGCTTGAAACTTTACTTGAGAAAAGATGATACCAGGACATAGAGATAACCCATAAAAAAACGATCCTTCTGCTATGTCCAGCCTTGACTGAGGCCTACTTGGACTACACTGTGGGGGTTCTAATCGCCCCACAGCGGACAGAACACACACTTGTAAAATATACAGAGGGATGGCTGGACTGATGCCTGGTATCGGTGCCTGGTTCCTGCCGAAATGGATTGAGGTGTTTCAGTCTGCTCTCGCTGGTGGAACGCGCGACAGGGGGGGGGGGGGGGGTAGGAAATTTTGGTCGAGGATTTCACCCACGGGGGACATCTCCCGTCACGCAGGGTGCAGTCGCACCTCCACAGATCTCCAGTATTAGCTATTGATACTGGAAATGGCTCAAAAGGGCCACCACTTACGGGCTATTCATGCCCGTGCCACCTCTTGGGTGGCTTAATCTTTATCAATCATCAATCGGCTCGCTGGGGTGCTCACTAGAAACCGCCTCGACGGGAAATAGTAATGCGCATGGGACTATTTTACGAATTTGGGGTAAGCCAAACAGATATAAGAGACAATGATCTCTTAGTAGCCTGACGTTATTCTAAGAATTCATTTCCTTTGTTACAAGTAATATATTTGTGTTTACTTTTCTATTGAATTCAGCAGTGACAGAGCCAATTAGATTCTTATTTTGTAATGTATCAGTGTCTGGCAGCAAAGCTTCTGTTTTTTATACTTGGTCTTCTTTGTTTAAAATAACAGTTTTGCCTTACTCACAAATGGTGATAATTATGTAGCCATTCATTTTTAGGTTAACAAAAGCAGCATCATGACACCGACATGTACTTTTGTTTCCAGGACTCCTGTCATCTATTGTCTGCGTCGTTAGAACTTTTGTGCTAAGTTCCTTATTACATTTACTATTTTCTAGAAACTTGTTTAATTTATATATATATATATATATATATATATATTAGTATATTTTGGTAGCAGTCTTTCCTGTAGACATATATTATTAAATATGACCGAAAAAGTAAGATTAATAATTCTAACACGAATTTTCTCAATCTTTCGTACATTACGCTTCACTGTTGGAGGTAAATCAAAAATCACTTCTCCAAAAAAATAATAATGAATAAAATAAATTATAATAAAAATAAAAATGAATTTTGGAGAAGTGATTTTTGATTTACCTCCAACAGTGAAGCGTAATGTACGAAAGATTGAGAAAATTCGTGTTAGAATTATTAATCTTACTTTTTCGGTCATATTTAATAATATATATATATATATATATATATATATATATATATATATATATATATATATATATATATTGTGTTTGCGGGGATTGAGCTCTGGCTCTTTGGTCCCGCCTCTCAACCGTCAATCAACAGGTGTACAGATTCCTGAGCCTATTGGGCTCTATCATATCTACACTTGAAACTGTGTATGGAGTCAGCCTCCACTACATCACCTCCTAATGCATTCCATTTGTCAACCACTCTGACACTAAAAAAGTTCTTTCTAATATCTCTGTGGCTCATTTGGGCGCTCAGTTTCCACCTGTGTCCCCTAGTGCGTGTGCCCCTTGTGTTAAATAGCCTGTCTTTATCTACCCTATCAATTCCCTTCAGAATCTTGAATGTGGTGATCATGTCCCCCCTAACTCTTCTGTCTTCCAGCGAAGTGAGGTTTAATTCCCGTAGTCTCTCCTCGTAACTCATACCTCTCAGCTCGGGTACTAGTCTGGTGGCAAACCTTTGAACCTTTCCAGTTTAGTCTTATCTTTGACTAGATATGGACTCCATGCTGGGGTTGCATACTCCAGGATTGGCCTGACATATGTGGTATACAAAGTTCTGAATGATTCTTTACACAAGTTTCTGAATGCCGTTCGTATGTTGGCCAGCCTGGCATATGCCGCTGATGTTATCCTCTTCATATGGGCTGCAGGAGACAGGTCTGGCGTGATATCAACTCCCAAGTCTTTTTCTTTCTCTGACTCCTGAAGAATTTCCTCTCTCAGATGATACCTTGTATTTGGCCTCCTGCTCCCTACACCTATCTTCATTATATTACATTTGGTTGGGTTAAACTCTAACAACCATTTGTTCGACCATTCCTTCAGTTTGTCTAGGTCTTCTTGAAGTCTCAAACAGTCCTCTTCTGTCTTAATCCTTCTCATAATTTTGGCATCGTCCGCAAACATTGAGAGAAATGAATCTATACCCTCCGGGGTATAGAGTACAGAGCCCTGTGGGACTCCACTGGTGACTTCACGCCAATCGGAGGTCTCACCCCTCACCGTAACTCTCTGCTTCCTATTGCTTAGGTACTCCCTTATCCACTGGAGCACCTTACCAGCTACACCTGCTTGTCTCTCCAGCTTATGTACCAGCCTCTTATGCGGTACTGTGTCAAAGGCTTTCCGACAATCCAAGAAAATGCAGTCCGCCCAGCCCTCTCTTTCTTGCTTAATCTGTGTCACCTGGTCGTAGAATTCTATTAAGCCAGTCAGGCAAGATTTACCCTCCCTGAACCCATGTTGGCGATTTGTCAGGAAGTCCCTTCTCTCCAGATATGCTACCAGGTTTTTTCTCACGATCTTCTCCATCACCTTGCATGGTATACAAGTCAAGGACACTGGCCAGTTCAGTGCCTCTTGCGGCACTGAACTACAGCATTGCGTTCAGTGTGTGTGTGTGTGTGTGTGTGTACCTCCTGAAGTTATTAGAACCCCCTTTTTCAATATTTATCGACAGACTCAACTCTCTAGTGACTAGCATAACAATGTTCAAGGGCGTATGGAAGTCACATGGCAAAGTGCCGTTTTTAGATGTGCTAGAATTACGCTCGTAGCCAGTAGAATTACGAACAACAGTCCGCTTCATCTTAGTATAGGAAGGATACTTATTTAGGCTATCTTAGTAGTTAATGGTGACGCGGTTCAGAGGAGCGTTGCCCCTTTCTCTAGATTACTGTTCATTTGAAGTCCCCCAATACTTTGAGAAATAGATGGAAATGATAGACTGCTCATGAAAGTAGATTATCTCGGATGGTTCATTAGGCTGCACAAATTGCTCAGGACAATTTCTACACAAAGCTACACTTAAAAAGGAGGACAGTCGAAGTGTTAAGCACAATAATTTCTTACTGTGATAAACTGGTACCCACGGCTGTACTAACAAAACTAGTAGAGAGGTAGTGTATTTTAAACTGAATGGAGATGATTTATGGAAATTAATTATGCATGTTGCGTCATGAAATTTACTTAGAATCCAAAGTTGTGCGAAACTCGAGTTGGCAAACTGTGTGGACTTCACTAATGTTGATTTTCAAGTGTTTCATCTTCTCTGCAATGCCAGGCAGCGCGAGGCTACAGAGACGACGGCGACACGATATAATCCCCCAGATATTAGCGATGGTGTTCATAAGGATGTTGAATAGTGTGAGACTCGGCGCCCTTCCCAGACGGGCCTGGCCAGCAGCAAGACCCGGCCAGCCTGTGGCTCTTAAGAACGCTGCCCGCTAATCCGCATGCCAGTCGCGAGATCACGAGAACGACAGTTGAATACACACCAACACCTTAAACATATTTGAATTTTAGTTATGTTCTCTTTCTATCATTATATTTGTAAATAAATCTTCAAAAGTTAAGATAGTCCTTTATAAATGTGTTGTGCGTTTGTTTGGGTGTGGTAAGCGTTCTTGAAGGTTCTTTTGTTTAGGTTTTGTGAAAGTTTGTGAATGTGTTTGTGGTGAGCGTTCTTGATTCGTGTTTACTTAGGTATATATATATATATATATATATATATATATATATATATATATATATATATATATATATATATATATATATATATATATATATGAATGAAAACTCACACCCCAGAAGTGACTCGAACCCATACTCCCAGAAGCAACGCAACTGGTAACTACAGGGCGCCTTAATCCGCTTGACCATCACGGCCGTCAAAAGGAAGTGATAGCCGAGGCTATTTGAGCCACTTGAGGGGAAGTGGCTCAAATAGCCTCGGCTATCACTTCCTTTTGACGGCCGTGATGGTCAAGCGGATTAAGGCGCCCTGTAGTTACCAGTTGCGTTGCTTCTGGGAGTATGGGTTCGAGTCACTTCTGGGGTGTGAGTTTTCATTCGCATATAGTCCTGGGGACCATTCAGGCTTGTTCGCATTTGTGTTCCTCACGTGTGCCCCAAAGAATGAGGTGA